ATTTTATGTTTCTTGTTGTTTCTTATCTCCTTGTGCAAAGATTACACAAATTCCATGAGTTCATGATCTCATGGAATGGGGTATAGGGGTGCAGCTTTCGTTGATCATGGCACCATGATCCAGGCACACTTTGGTGAAAGTCTGACTTTGCCTGTAATTTGAGGCTGTTCCTAACATGGAAACCTTTGCTGCCAACTCTAACATGAGTACAGACACAGCTCCTCCATATCCCTGGAGTGGGACCATTGCTGAGGTCCATCAACTGGGTCAGTTGAACTCGGGATTTTTAAAGACTTTTTATGACACCAATATGTAGATGTATATGCTATGAAATCTACAGTTGCATATGAGTGGCACAGAGCCGGAGGGAAAAACACCAAATCTGTCCTCCCAAGGTAACAGTAGTTTCTGATTTCCAGACTTAAGTCTGGTCATTTTCAGACAATGACTTTCCAGAATGGTGGCAAGGTTTTCCCACTATGTACTAAAAGAAAATCTCAGCCTGCAATCCCAAACCACATTATTGACTGTATTGACTCATCCATTGATGAGCTCTACTCAACCCCGCGGCACGGACACCATCAACAAGCTTTACAGGCTTGGTACCTTGATATGATTGTTGAGCCGAGATAAGAAAGAAGATGCTATGAAATTCTATTATTGCCACACCAAGATGCTCTGCGGTGAGGACCCGATTTGTACTTTCTGTAATTCAAAATTAAAAAAAGAAATCACTCACTATATTTTTGATTGCTCTGCTCTGAAAGAAGAACCCTTATGCTCAAAACTGAGCAACTCTGTGCTTCACTTCCATCAATAATTGACAATATGACCCAGAATAAGTATATTGCTACGGCGTTTCATGGTTTCCACAAATCCATATCTCAGAAGAAGGCCAAGTGACACTCACTCCTCACTTTCTTACTGCTACTCTTTTTGTGTTGTTTTTCTTGCTTCCCTCTTTCTCTTTCTTATTTTTTTCTTTTTCTTCTGTCTATATCGTTATTACCTTTGTCTCACTGCTTTGTTCTTATGCATACCTCTGGTGAATCCTGTATAGGGTCAGTGACCCTAAATAAAGGCTTTTTGTTGTTGTTGAAATTCTATTATTGTTACCATAGTAGTGCATAATACAAAGCAATAACGCACCATCTATATACAGCAAATGAAAACATTAAGACTTGAATGTTTCTTTTTCACATCAATCAAACTTCTACTGTCCTTACTGCGATGAAAATATTTTGGGAGGACTTAGCCTATCAGTGGTAAACTCTCCCAGTGGTTTTGCCAATTTAATCTACCAGACCGCTTCTTTATAGCTCTAATAATGTATTGGAAAATACTGCATTTTTCATAGCAGTAAGAACAGTAGAAGTTTGATGTGTGAAACATTCATGTCTTAATGTTTTCATTTGCTGTATAGTAGTGTATATTGATAATACTAATTATCAAGATATCTGGATTCTTACTGATAGTAGAAGTGCCATACAACACTTGAGTCACACAGGAGAACTTAGAGACAAAGTAAGCAGGAACATAATTGGTTATCTCCAAAAACCTCAAAAATTCACCTTCAATGGATACCCTCACACGTTGGCATTGAAGGCATTAAAGCTGCTGATGTGCTAGCGAAAAAAGGCACAAAAGAACCCTTGCCACAGAAAAATAAACTTACTTTTAAAGAAATAGAAACAATAGCCAAAACAAAAGTAAACAAGAACTGGAGGATCCCACCTAAGCATAGTTGGTACAGTGGAGTGAACCCAGGAGGAGCTCTGAACATCAGAAATAGACAGCATCAAACAACACCAACAAGATTTAGAACAGGCCATCTCAAGCCATTGAAGATAGAAAATAATAACAAAATTTATCCCACTTGCCCAAAATATAGTTTGGTACCTGCAGCTCCAGAACACATTTTGGCTTGCATTAGATGCACTAAACAGGACCTTTGGGAGAGGCCGCTGCTTATCATAAAACAGCTCGAGGAGCATGGACTCATGGAATTTGTGTAATCTTTACACAAGGGGATAAGAAACAACAATATTGATATGAATTTATGATGGTACTGAAGAGAGAGCCGATATTCATATGGTTACGATGTGCAGGTGTTTCCACTTGGCAGTTGTACAAAGTTGGGAACTCCCTCTACAAGGATCCTATTTCATTCCTCATAACACCAAGCTTCCCAGCAAGAACACAGTCTCCATACAATCTTTCCAAATAACAGCCATCTACCTGTCTAGTTAACTAGATATCAAAATGACCTTTCCCTTTAACAATAAATCCACTGAGATTTAATGGGAAAATTAAGGAAACTGATATTTATGTTTAAAATTTTTGAAGAGAGGTCAAAAACAGAAAATAAAAGTTTACAATTTTAAAAGAAAATTTGATGATTTATCTGAGTAAAGAGATGATTTAGAATTTTCTCTTATTCTTCTGGGAGAATTTATGGAATAAAAAAGATTATAAATAAAATAAGAACTATATTAACAATAGAAATAAATAACCATAAATTTAGTGGTATAATTTGAGGAATAAGGAAAATTTTACTTTAAAATAACACTTTAATTTTATAATTTAACTAATTTCCTTTCAAAGGGAAGAATCCCTTCTATAGCTTAAGAGGCTATTGCTGTTAAGCTATTTGAAAAAATATTTTTTTAAATCAGATAATCTTCTTTTTTATATCACTGGGTAAAGTAAAATGTGTCTGCCTTTGTCATTAAGACTGGGAGCACTATTCAGTGGCAGGCCGACTTAGCTCCAAAAGAAATGGCCACCTCTGACATAAAGAACAGACGCCATGTGCAGCCGCACCTAACATGGAGTACAAACTCTGCTCATCCTGTATCCCTGGAGCCCTTACAGGGTACTATCAGCCGGGCCAGCTGAACCCAGGTTTTTTATTAAGCTTGTTACTGCTCCCCCTCCTCCTTTTTCATCTGGGCTTGGGACCGGCAATAATTTTTTTTTTTTTAATTATCCCTAGTACACGTGGTACAGGCCATGATAATCATGGTGGATAGTTAGCGACTGCTTCTACTGTAAGCGCACCACATGTCTACACATGTGAAAAGCAGTTCAACTTTGCACTTACAAATGTGCCAGAGCCCCGTTTGGTTACTTGCACTCGCTGGTGGGGTTGGACTTTTGAAAGAATCGGGGGCCCTTGAAGCATTTTTTTATCAGAAAAAAATGCCCAAGGCGGGAATCAAACTTGGGTCGTAGGGGTTATAAACGGTTTAGACCATTCTTCCACCAACCCCCAAAGGATTATATATAAGATTATAGTGAACTATAGCTGCCCATATAGATGAAGGCTAGAAAAGTGAGATGCCGACAAGACTTTAAAATCACTGCATTCTATAATGGACACAGAGACTTTTTCTCTTCTTCTTCTTACTTATCTCCACTCAATCACACTAAGGTATCAAGCTTGTAAAGCTTGAGATTTTTTATGGTGTCTGCCGGGGAAGAGTAGAGCTCATCAATGGATGAGTCAATACATTCAATAATATGTCTTGGGGTTGCAGGCTGAGAATTGCACTTAGTACATAGTGGGAAAACCTTGCAACCATTCGGACACAGAGACAATTGGAGGACATACCCAAACCTAGTGCTGTCAAGCAAGTAATGGTGACAATCATTTTTTGCTATTCAATACATTACAACAACCTCTCTGTTCTTTTTTTATTATCCCATTATATAATTACACAAGGTCATGGAGACTATATTCATTGATCAAATTCACAATCTTGGTAGGCTTGGAATACAGGTCCTGTCTTGAGGCTCCCATGCATTCCAAAAGATGGTCTGGTAGGGTAAATTTTTTTTGTTGTTTTTTATTATCCCATTGTATAATTATACAAGGTCATGGAGACTATATTCATTGATCAAATTCACAATGGGGGTCGGTGGAAGGCTGGTTAAACCGTTTGGTTTTCGACCACTACGACCCGGGTTCGATTCCCGCATTAGACACTTTTTTCTGTTTTTAAAATAAATAAATAAAAATTCTCCAATGGCCACCGATTCTTGCAAAAGTCCAGCCCCACCAACGAGTGCAAGTAACCAGATGGGGCTCTGGCACATTTGTAAGTGCAAAGTCGAACTGCTTTTCACATGTGTAGAAATGTGGTGCGCTTACAGTAAAAAAAAAAAAAAACAATCTTGGTAGGCTTTGAATACAGGTCCTGTCTTGAGGCTCCCATACATTCCAAGAGGTGGTCTGGTGAGGTCTCTTTGGTCCTGTAGATGGTCCATTAGTCCAAAAGTCTCCATGATAGGTAAAAAGATCTGCTGTCATTGGTTGGCTATCTACATGGAGGGGACAGTCAGACTTTGTCCCCCTAAAAGACACCACCTAGTTGAATTGCAAAAGTGATATTTAGGGAGAGGTGTACTCTTTTACAAGAAAGCAACAAATTAGTAAAAATGGTCATTTTGGAAATGTGAAAACTGTCCTTTGTAGAGGGGTGACCTCTAGCTAGAGTAGAATCTATTTTATTACTTGATTTTTAAAAATGATCATTGTGGGATGATATACATGGTGATGAAAATTTTTTTTTTTTTTTACAACAAAAAGCCTTTATTTAGGGTCACTGACCCTATACAGGATTCACCAGAGGTATGCATAAGAGCAAAGCATTGAGACAAAGGAAACAACGATATAGACAGAAGAAAAAGGAAAAAAAAACAAGAAAGAGAAAGAGGGAAGCAAGAAAAACAACACAAAAAGAGTAGCAGTAAGAAAGTGAGGAGTGAGTGTCACTTGGCCTTCTTCTGAGATATGGACGGTGATGAAAAATTATTTAAAATACAATATAACGCGGCTGATGATTGTAAAACGAAAATTTCAAATATGCCGCGAATGTTTCTTTTAAACAAAAATCAAAATTTATTTTTAAAGAGAAATAACAACTATTTCTAACTTTAAGGATGAAGTATGAAAGGGTGAAAATATGAAGAGTAATGGCGAACGGAAAAATAAAAGTGTCCAGGGGCGGGAATCGAACCCATGACCTTCCGCTTACCGGGCAGATGCCATGTCCACTAGGCTACCCTGGACATATCTTTCCGTTCATAAATATTATATAAAGTAATTTAAAATACAATATATAAAGTATTTTAAATTACTTTATATAAAATATTTATGAACGGAAAGATATGTCCAGGGTAGCCTAGAGGACATGGCATCTGCCCGGTAAGCGGAAGGTCGTGGGTTCGATTCCCGCACCTGGACACTTTTATTTTTCCGTTCGCCATTACTCTTCATATTTTCACCCTTTCATACTTCATCCTTAAAGTTAGAAATAGTCGTTATTTCTCTTTAAAAATAAATTTCGATTTTTGTTTAAAAGAAACATTCGCGGCATATTTGCAATTTTCGTTTTACAATGAAAAATTATACCTCAAGGTTTATTTTTAAGTACAGTAGGACAGCAATTTTCGCAGAACCAGTCTTTTAGAGAGAGGTGTCATCTTACCAGTTGTCAAAGAGCAAAAATGCTAATTTTGACAATGAGGTGTTCTCTAGCAGTAGTGCTAGGCTGCACATGGCGTCTGTTCCTCATGTCAGAGGCGGCCATTTCTTTTGGAGCTAAGTCGACCTGCCACTGAGTAGTGCTTCCAGTCTTAATGACAAAGGCAGACACATTCTACTTCATCCAGTCATGATTGTTGTCAAACAGACTCCACCAAGGGTAACAACTTGATACCCCAATATGATTGAGTGGAGATAAGAAAGAAGAAGAAGAGTGTCCTCTCATAGTGGTTCATCTATATATATATTTTTAAAATCTTATATTGAAATTGAATCTCTACATGGGGACACTAAAAGCATCATTCATATCTACAGAATCACTTACTACTGCATCAGCTGGGAAGTAGAATAAGATGTTATTGCACAAAGTTGATGTTATTATTAATAATTTAATATTATAAATAATATTTATTATCATGAGTACACATGGTATAGGTTTACACACCAAGGTAGTGGACATTGCTGTGATAGAGATGTATGGAGACATCTGAGGCTCTTCATTGGACACGACAACAACAATACAGTATACACACCCAAGATAGAGAACATTGTGACTGCTGTGATAGAGATGCATGGAGACATCTGAGGCTCATTGGACACAGCAACAACAACAATACAGTATACACACCCAAGATGGCAGAAATTGTGACTGCTGTGATAGAGATGCATGGAGACATCTGAGGCTCTTTATTGGACACGGCAACAACAACAATATAGTATACACACCCAAGATAGAGGACATTGTGACTGCTGTGATAGAGATGCATGGAGACATCTGAGGCTCATTGGACACAGCAACAACAACAATACAGTATACACACCCAAGATAGTGGACATTGCAACTGCTGTGATAGAGATGCATGGAGACATCTGAGGCTCTTCTTTGGACACGACAACAACATGGTATAGGTCATGATAATCATGGTTAGTAGTGATTGCTTTAACTGTAAGTGTACCACATGTCTACACATCTAGAAAGCAGCTTGATTTTTCCTCTTACAAATTGCTAGCAACCCTTTGGTTACTTGTACTCACTGGTATGATTGCAAGTATCCAATGCAGGATTTGATCCTGGGTCATGGCTGTCAAAAATGGATTCCTCCATCAACACCCATGTTAGACAGGTAGAATATCCAGAATTGGATTCCTAAGAACCCATTCAAGTACTTATCATACCTCAATGTATGCAAGCATGGAATTGTATAGGCAAAACCACAGAGTCCAACAACACTTATCAGCAAGGACCTCCAATATATTTAGTAGGATAAATGCTCTTCCAATGGCTAACCAGCAAAAGGGTTATGTCATTATGCCACGAAAATACAATATGGAAGATAAACTTCTTATGTCTATTGAAGTCTATCAAAAATGATAAAGCACATTTTGGATTATAGATAATACAAGAAAATAAGACCTAAAATGGATTAGGTCTTATTTTCTTGTAATATGGAAGATATTTTTTTTTTGTTTTTAGTGTCCTTCAAGTTTGACTTTTGTCACTATATGGACAAAATATTCTCCAACTTGATCTGTTAGTGAACATCACTCAGCCACTAATCCTCCAATAGCTTCCTCGACACTCCTTAACCTGCTCATGTTATATTAGGTATTTTGTGCCACCTTTGCTGGTTCCAAGCCCTATGAAAAAGGAGGAGGGGAAGCAGTAACAAGATTTCTAAACACCCTGGGCTCAGCTGATAGTACCCTGTAAGGGCTCCAGGGATACAGGATGAATCTTTATTTCATGTTAGGAACGCCTATACATGGCGTCTGTTCTTCATGTCAGAGGCGGCCATTTCTTTTGGAGCTAAGTCGATCTGCCACTGAGTAGTGTTCCCAGTCTTAATGACAAAGGTAGAAGCATTCTACTTCACCCAGTCATGATGGTTTACAAAACACCATCAACAAGCTCTACAGGCTTGATAACCTGATATGATTGTTGAGTAAAAATAGGAAAGAAGAGATTTTGTCCATTTAGTTTTCTTAGCAACGCTTGATACTGAAGTTGGCTTTCATTCTATGGCGTTGACCAAATAAATTTGGCTCTTTGACCTTTTGGGACAATTTCTTCTCCCAGGGACAAGAGAGTGCTCTCCTTCATTACAAGAATGATGTCAATTACAGGACCAAAGAGACCACCTCTTGGAATGTGAGCATCAAGAAAGGACCTATATTCCAACTTTACTAAGAAAGTAAATTTGATCCTTGAATAAGCCTACATGACCTTGTAAAATTATACAATGGGATATAGATGGAAAAATTGCCGGGAGGAAATTGATCCATAGAAGCATAGGGCGCTTCTCCCATCAAAATAAACGTCAAAAACTGACGCAAACTATGGGCGCTTCTATGGATCAATTTCCTCCCGGCAATTTTTCCATCTATATTCTAGCCATAGATTTGGCCCAGCCACCTTGCCAGCAAAACACCTCTTTGGTAGATTGTGAAGATTCCATTAGATCCCGTGTGGATCTCATGGAATAAAGTCCGCCCTAGACTGACGAGGGCCATTAGCCTGAAACCATGGTCTCTAGGTGGACGCTTCTCAATTTGCCAAAGCTGGTATTGTGGCTTTGTCATCGACCCGAGGCCGCTAGTTTGCCGCGATGGTCAATAGATGGCGTCAGTTTTTGACGTTTATTTTGACGGGAGAAGCACCCTATGCTTCTATGGATATACAATAGGATGATTTAAAAAAATGAAGGTTAAAAGCCAGGTTATCCTGGTCCTCAAGTACTTTTGAGAACGAAGATTATCCTACAGTTTTATGACAAGGCACAATTTGGATTATAGATTATAAACACAAGGTAATAAAACCAAATCTAAATAAATAGTGTGACATTTGGGTAACAGCATCGTTACCATCTTCAGACAAGAGTGGTGATATTTAAAACATTCTGTGATATTTTTTTCTCATTCAGCACTTTTGTTTGAAGATGGTAACAACGCTGTTACCGAAACGTCACACACTATTTATTTGGATTTGGTCATATTACCTTGTGTTCCTACAGTTTTATCTCTCCTTAGAAAATACTAAAGTATCCATAACAATCTACATTTATACCAGAATTTTCCTTCATTGGCCTCTCCCATTTTCATTTGAAAAGTACTACTGATGCTAAAGATACAAATACAGTATAACCTCGTTAATTCGACACACCCCAATTCGACACTCGGCGATAATTCGACCATGTTCCGATGTCCCGACCTCCGGCCTATCAAATAACAAACCGTAATTCGACAGTATCGATAATACGACAGTTCCGATAGTTCGACCATTTTAAAATTCGAATTTCGACAGTTGAATGTTATTTTACATGCAACTTTACCGCTAAACGGTATTACGGCGGGCGCCGATCGGATCGCGCCTGCGCACTTTTGGTTTCTGGTTAGTTTAAGTTTCACTTTGCAGTGCCGTTGCGCAATTTCGCGGATGTTATTGTTGTTTTTTTACGCGGGAATTTCAGCATCATGCGCTAACTAATAATAATTTTTATTTTTTTATTTTTAACATTGAAATATTTTAGCTATTTTTAAATTTATAAATAATTTCCTTTTAAATAAATAAATCTTTATACAATGTAGCCACAATGATTATGATAACATTTTATTTCAATATTCCATTTCTGTGTTATTATAAAAGATTTAACCCGGCAGCGGTCGCGCCCTCTTTTATACCTTGAAAGGTCGCGGTGGGTAAAATTTACCCACTTTTAAAAACCTAAATAAATCAAATATTCTTTTCAATATTTTTTTTTTTTTTTCTATGTCAGAATAATGATTTGTCTATTAAATAACTTTATATAAAATCCTGAGATATAAAAATCATATTTTATTTATTTTATTAATAACAAATCAAAATATCAAATATTTATGATATATTTGACTATTTTATGAAAATAAAAATATATATTAAAGATAGGTTATAAAATATAAATTTGTATGAAAGTTATCACTTCCTTTCATAGAAATTAGGACTTGTTTCGTCCTTTATGACATTCTTGACAAATTATTACAGAGTGTTCCTTACACAAAAAAGCAAAACAGTACTGGCAATGTTGAATAGTTTTTCTGTCCTTTTTTTCTTTCTGGCATTTATTGCATCGATGTCTTTCTCCTATTTTTGGCTTTTTAGATGGACCAGGCTCTAACAAATTAAAAATATCGGATGCCTTTTCCTTTATTTCACATGGCATTCTTCCGCTTACTGTGCGAACTTTGACCATCTCTTCAATAAGATCTAAGGATAAGGTTTTCAAAAAATGACGTCTTGATTTAACCTTTGATGCGTTGCCATTTGCAAAATGAATTATCTGGGAATTTATTGCCCCAATATTTAAAAGTGAATAAAAAATAACCATGGGCCATCTTCTTGAATTTCTAGCACAGTTATATGTAGCTTTCATTTCGTCCATCATATCTACACCACCCTTTGTCATATTATAAAACATCATCATCTCTGGCTTTTTCAATTCTCCCGTTGAATCATCTATATTTGCATCGTGGTGCAGAGTTGAAAGCATAA